TAATCCAAATTCAGTAGTTTAACAGCAACAGGGTGAAATTGAAAAACAGGACAGCAGATTCACACAGATTAATAAAATTAAGGATAAATGAAAGATACAAAATAAAATAGGAAATTAATTAAAATGAACATAAGATATACTGTAAAGTGGCATGTAACCGTATAATAAACGTATTATATTCTTTGCAAGCTCTTGTGGGGCAATATAAAATGAAGTCACGGGCTGGATTTGGCCCCCGGGCCTTGAGTTTAACACCCCTGATTTAGAACGCATTTTTTGGGTGTTTTTTTTATATTTTTTGATATACATTATTTATTTGGTTTTTTATTTTAAACTTTTCTGTTTTATGTACTTTTACATTTAATTATTTAGGTACATTTTTCAATTTTTACTCGCTAGGTTACATTTAGTTTTCAATGCAGAGTACTTCAGAGTAAAGGACCTGAATACTTCCTCCAACACTTACATGTTAATATTGTCCTTTTGATGTTGTTTAAACAGCAGGAAACTAGCCCTAAAATGTACTTTTCAATCTAAATAGGTCCTGTTTTTTATCTAGAATTGTTTACCTGCAGAAAACAAAGCTAACTACATACATTCTCTTTTTAACATATGAGAACATTAAATGGTACATTCACAATAGTGACAAGTATCTCAAACCTTTTGACCTCTGTTTGTCAAGGCTGTACAGAGATAGTCACCTATCATATTTCCGGGTTGTTAACGTTGCCCTTGGTTTGGAAGATATCAGTGCTGGTGATTATCAGTTATTATTCAGTCTAAGGGGTCACACTAATGGGTAAACTGGAGTGTATGCATGAGGGAAAGTGTTCATATCTCTATTGTGATGCAACTTCAAGAGGAAGGAGAATTTATCTGCCTCAGCTAAATGTGCCGACATCCAATGACCCGACATCTGATATCTGCTCCTGCTCACCTTCCACCTCACTCTGCATGTGAAGGGTCATACGTGGTTTTATTGCACATATTAAGAGATGTATAGATCTATTTGCTGTTAAAGACTCAGCATTTTTAGCACTTCCAGTTCCCTTGTCTGAAAGACAATTGTTTTTTTTGTGTGTTTGTGGTTAAAAAGCCTGAAATTAAGAGAGATATTTGAAAGTTTTGTTCTACGACATAAAATACGTCAGTAAATACCCCACTGGTGAATTAAAAAACTGTGGTTGCGTGTCTAAATGAGACGACTAAGCGCTATCACGGCCAACATTAGCCTCCTTTAGCTTAGCGGTGGTGACGTGAAGTCATGTGACCGTGCTGTAGTTCCTTTATAGCCCAACATTAGCCTCCTTTAGCTTAGCGGTGGTGACGTGAAGTCATGTGACCGTGCTGTAGTTCCTTTATAGCCCAACATTAGCCGCCTTTAGCTTAGCGCTGGTGACGTGAAGTCATGTGACCGTGCTGTAGTTCCTTTATAGCCCAACATTAGCCGCCTTTAGCTTAGCGGTGGTGACGTGAAGTCATGTGACCGTGCTGTAGTTCCTTTATAGCCTGAAGTTAGCTTTTTACTTCAGAGATCATAAAGTGCTGTGGAGATTATCCTGCTGAACTAAAAGTTTGTTTGTTTATTTTCTGCAGTAAAGAGAAATCCAACGGGGGAAATCCCAATTTCTTTTTTTGTTGGGGGAACCCTTGCAATTCTACCTTTTCTTCACAATCTACAAAATGCTAAAATGAACTTCTCTCTCCTTTAAATCCCTCAGATAAGGGCTCGATCATGACAGATGCTGATGGCTTCTGTCCGACAGCAGAAGATGGAGCTGAGAGCGATCAGCAGCATCCTCTCATTCTCCAGAGAGTCCAGGAAGAACCCAAAAGCTGGCAAACCGTTGTGTCAAACCGACTCAAAAAGAACTGCTCGTGCACTCCAAAGAAAGCTAAATCCAAAATACTGGGTTTCGTCCCGATTGTAAAATGGCTGCCTCGCTACCAGCTGAAAGAATGGATTCTGGGCGACGTCATGTCTGGACTTATTGTAGGAATCCTATTGGTCCCTCAGTCCATAGCTTACTCCCTATTGGCCAGTCAGGACCCCATTTATGGTCTTTATACGTCCTTTTTCGCCTCCATCATCTACGCACTTTTAGGCACTTCCAGACACATTTCGGTGGGGATCTTCGGGGTCCTGTGTTTGCTCGTGGGTCAAGTCGTTGATAGGGAGTTAGCGTTGGCTGGATACCTCCCAGAAAACAGCATCTTAAGTAGCAACGACAGCTCCATCGTGCTGGGAAATAGCAGCTTTGGGATGGATTGTGACAGAAGCTGCTATGCTATCACCGTCGGAGCTACAGTTACTTTCACAGCTGGAGTTTATCAGGTAATGCTGCTTCCAGAGAGGCAAAAGTACACACATCCTTTACTCAAGTAGAAGTACAGATACTCGTGTTTAACAACACTCTGGTGAAAGTAGAAGTACTGACTAAACTTCTTTACTCAAGTCAAAGTAAAGAGGCTTTGAAATGTACTTCAGTAAAAAGTACCCATAACTAGCAGCTGTTTTAAAGAGTACCTGACCTCCCTTTATATTAATAGAACAATAATGTCATTGTTAGCTAATGAATGTTTCCATGCTGAACAACGGCAACATGACAACGTTTTCATTGGTCCCTCTTCTTTAGAGAAGACCAGGAAATGATGGATACACGGATCGTGTTCAAATCAATAGGCACGCAATGACTGTAAATAATAATGATCACGCCACCAAACACATATTCAAACTAAAGAACAGACAAAGCATCATTAGGTATCATTGAGTAGGTATTTCGGCTTTCTTTTAATACTGTTTTTGCCATTAAAAATCTAAATGTTAAATTGTGGTTTCGTACTACTGTACTAAGAAAGATTGCATTAGCCGACTTTCTAAAGACAATAAATAGAGCTTGTGAACCCAGACACGATGACGACTGTTCACAGCGTGCTCAAAGCAGCAGTGGTGTTTATTTTGTCCGTGGCTGACTACATATTGGTATCTAAAGCAAATGGAGATAAGCCTCGCCCTTGAGTAGTAGTTTGAGTCACTTGAGTAAACACAAAGGGGGGTCTAAACGTATTTCTCAGAGGGCCACATATAGAAAAATATATGAAGGGCTGGGCCGCTCACTAGAGGTTTATCGCCTCATAAGGTCAGTTATAAGTTGGTAAAATCAATGAAATGTAGCTAAAGTATGCTTGACACTTAAATCATAGCTCTCCATACGGTTTCATTTATTATGTTGGCAGTTCATTCCTTAAAATGGAAGCCTTAGATTGCTTATAATAAGAGGAAATAGGAAACTTGTAATGTAAATAAGTTATTGGGCTTTTTCTCATTCTCATTTTTTTTTTTTGTAATGAAATCATGAATACTGTTCAGTGTTTCCCCGAGGATGGAGTCATAGCTGCGGTGCTAAGGCACGTGGGCCCAGCCTAATGTGAGCGCGGAGCGTGTGACATTTTTTAGTGTGTGCACGTGCGAAGTGCGCCCCGCCAATTTGTTTCTATGTGTCTGCCAGCACAAGAAAGGCTCTTGAGGCCTAGTACCAGGGCCGGTTCTAGAGAATTTGCTGCCCTAGGTGAGATTTTATATATAAAGAATAAATGAAAAATCTCTACAAAAGACAAATACACTACAAAAAACATAAACTTAAATTGAACATTTTAAAGTAAAATGCTTCAATGTGGTGCACTTTGAGCAGAATTACTAGAGACTAGATCTAAGGGTTACAACTCTAAAACACCCATATGAAAAAGATTGGTTTACATTTGAATAATTAAATAAGTATGTGAACATAACCAATAACCTTCCATAGCCAATAACAAATAAACGTAACTTATTTTATTTTTGTTGTTCATTCATATCTTATTTGACCTAGTTCGGCCCTGCCAGTACAGACAGTGGCAACGTCTCAAGGTTTAGCAAAAATACACCTTTATCGAACATACAGTAACACAAATACTACAAATCCACATAACAAACAATCAAAAATGAAAAAGGGTCGCCACTTATTATTATTTTAATAATAAAAAAATAAGTTAAAACAAATTTTTTTTTTTGGGTACCTGGCTAGCGCCCCCTAGCAGCGGCGCGCATATTTGTATATAGGGGAAACACTGCTGTTTAATATATTTGTACATGTATATTTAAGAAGTACAATATAAATAAAGCACAAGGCTCATTTCTGGGCCATATTTCAATATACTTTTTGAATTAGTTGAGGGCCAATAAAAAATGGCCTGCGGGCCGCATTTGGCCGCCAGCAGCGAGTATTCGGCCCGCGTGCACGTTTCTATCATGTGTAACGTTACTGTTTGAACGGCGGATAGAGCAGCTTCATCATGGCAACTGGACAACAGCTAGGCTACTACTTACAGCATGCAGGTGACTTGTCATAGTTGTTGTGCCACCGTGGTAGGCCAGTTTCATATTGCATATTTGGCACACTGCCTTCGTCTCATCGTCGTCAAATTTAAACACAGCTGAAGTCTTCGGCTTTTTGTTTTCAGGTGTGTGAAGCCAAGTGAAGCGTGACGTTCGTGGCGCTGTGAGTGAAAGCGATGTCAGGCGCCCAAGCTGAGATTGTATATATTTCCGCATTTTAACAGTGAAAT